AGAGGTTCCCCTCCCCCCACGCTGCTTTTATTTGAGAACTTGGGGGGGAAAAAAAGATAACAGGCCAAGGGAAAAAGGATGTCCTCGTTGGCTGGGGCGAGAGAAGCAGCGGAGCTCAGATCGAGAGGGAGCCGAGTGCGAGAAAGAACTCGGAAATCATTATCTGTTGGTTAAAACCTGCCTGGGGTAAAATTTCAACTCGATTTTATAGCCTTCTATTATGACGCAAAGAAAAATTTACGACCCTTGCTTGAAAAGAAGGGCCGGGGCCTTTTCTCGCCCAGCTGAGAATAGGCGGCAGATGCCGTGACAGCGACCATTGTTCCCTGCAGACACAGGCGACCGGGCAACCCCGGTCCGCGTGCGCCAGGCGCGTCCCCCAGCCGCGCGGGGTCTGGGCGACTCCTGCGGTGCCGCCCGCGCGCACCCTCGCCCCTCACCCCGCGCACCCTCGCACCCCGGCATCCTCACATCCCTCCCTTGCTCCCTCCCTCCCGCTCCCGCACACACTCGGCCGGCCGCAGTAATTTTTCATAAGTGCAAAGCTTTGCCTGAACCAAAGGTCACCATCCAAGCCACTAACAACTTCTCGCCGGCGCGCGGTTCCAAATCAGGAAGCAAAGGGAACTATTTGTCAGCGGCCCTGACAGCTAAGTTCATTAAGGATTTAAATCCGATGAAATAAAAGTCGCCAAAATATTTACCTGCCGGCCGCGCTCCCGTGCCCGCCGCCGCCGGGGGCCCGGGGGGTGGAGGGCCGGGGGGCGCCACGCGGCCCCCCTTGGCGGGCGATATTCTTGGGATCCCTGCACTTTCCAAGTCGGAGAGAGCCCTTTGCGTGGCAGATTAATGACGACTCCGTGTTTCTTAAGGGACGTGCTGAATTAATTATTTCGCCAATCACGTGGTCGGGACTTGTAGAAATCTATTCTTATCATCTTCCTCGCACTTTGAAAATTCTCCGGGTTATGAAAGGCCCTCCCCCGGCTGCCGGCGAGCCCTGGCCGCCCAGCCAGGCGCGGGGGGCAGGGAGGGCTCCCCAACATGGCGCGCGGGCGCGTGAGCGGGCGGCGCCGTCTGCCGAGGGTCCCGGCTGGCTGTGCAGCCCCCAGCGGGCTCAGCGGCCGCTGGTGCGCTCGCCTTCTCCTCGCCCCAGCCCGTGGTATTCAATACACACCGTGGTATTGATGTATTGGTGGGCACGGGAGGAACCATTAGGCAGAAGACGGGCAGAGGACAATCATAAAATGTGTCTGAATATTTAAACTTCTGTCTGCGTACTTATAAATACACATGTCCACGCGTCTGGGGCGAGCCCTTCCATATATTAAGGACACATGTCTGATTTTATGCATTCTGCTCATTTCCTGTCTCCAGCAAGCCCTCCCCACCCCAACCCCTCACTCCCACATCTATTTTGGGACTCCTGTCTTGGCCCTCTCTTTTCTCCAGGCGAGGCCAAGATGTGAAAAAACCTGTTCGATAAAAAATCATGCCTGGTACTTTTTATAGTGGGGAGTTTATTGTTGTCTGAGAGGTGGAAAGACTAGGGAGCAGGGGAAGGAGGGGCAGGTGCCAGGGGTCTGCGTAGGGCTGGGCAGCAGAAAAGTAGAAGGAGCCCAAGACTGGGGGCCAGAGGGGTCAGGTCAGAGCTGCCCCTAGCCCAGCCCTCTTCCCAGCTTTTGGGAGCAGGGGTGGAAAGTTCACTCACCCAGGCCATCACAAAGACCCCTCTGAGAATGGAGGGGCTGAAGGGGGCTGGGGTTGGCCCTGGCCAAGCAGAAAACCAACCTGGAGACCCCTATCAGCCCGAGAAGTTACTTTTTTTTTTCTTTCAACAAATCATGCCCACCACCATATAGCCTGAATACAACCACAGCTTTCCCAAAGCTCTGAAAATATGGTGGCAAAATGGGGGGGGGGGAGTGGAAAATGAGAGAATGGAGGTGGGGGGGTTAAAAAATATAATTTCTAAGCCTTTCTCTTTGTAATCTTCAGAGTTCAGGCACCACATAAACTGCTACCTGGCTTATTGCAGAAAATGATAAAATATTTACATTGAATGTTAGCTTTTAGAAGACTTCACAAAGAATGCTTCTGTCAAGGCATCAAACAGGAGGGACATTTTGCTACACTTTTTATTATGTCAAATATAGATCAATGAATTACATCAAAACTACAGGCAACAATTAGTATAAATAATACTTTAATCAGTGGCAGCAAAACATTGGTCAATTCTATTTTTAAAAAAGCATCTCACGTGAACAGATTCCATGGGGCTCACTGACAATGTCTTCCCACGACAAAAGACTGCAATGGACGGACGAAGTGAGAGGGGCCCGAGAAGCCGTGTCCTCCAGACACTTCACTTCTCCCCTCCCTGCTCCTAGCCACGACCCCAGCACAGAATTTAAAAACAAAAACAACAAAAAACACCAAAACAAATACTTCTGGCTCATTATTTGGGGGAAACAAACTGGAAATAAATAACAGCAAATGGGCGCTGGAGCCTCTCCACACGTAGGTCTCTACAGAGCCTGTTCCCAGATGGAAACTTCTTTCTTTTCCTACCCTAGGTGGTGGGGGTCCCCCCCACCCCTCCACTGGCCCACACCTGTAGGTCCGAGTGGGCCTTTGGGAGTCAGGGCTGCCCTTCGGGCCATCCAAGCCCCCATTAACACTTCAAAGGACGATACCCCAGAGCTGAGCAGCAGGTTTGAGACTTATAAAGGAAGAAGTTGTTTCTCTGATTAAGTTCCTTTTCAAATTGGTTAGAGTTGTGTCTCAGAAGGGGCTTGAGTTTTCCTCACGGAAACAAGATTCTAGACTCTCCTCTGGGGAGGGGGCAAGGAAGTTAGCAGTTGTGTTTGTCTGAAGCTGGGTGAATAACCTGAGCTTCTGGGGAGGGGGCACACCTATATAATAATTCATTCTCTAGAGCGAGAGTTGGTTGTTGTAAAAACATCCACATTTTCCCCTCTTAGGGAGCAGGTCCATATTCATCCAGATTTGTTAGGACAGAACCTGAGCAACTTGCTAACTTGCCTAAGGATAGCAGCTCTTTTCAAATGCCACATCCAAAGATCACTCTCCGTGTTGGGGGGTGGGCAGGAAGGGGGGAGACGAGAAGGGTAGTTAAAGTCCAAAAGGTTAAGGGTTTAGAGGTCAGTCCTCTGGCTGAAATACAGCTAATCGAATAGAAAATTTGTCCTCTGGATGAACCTGATTCTGTAATTTAGCCGAACTTCAGTAAAATACCTTTTCAGCTTCTCAACGTGAGAGCGTCAGAAAAGAGACATCTTGACTATGTATGAACTCTGTGCTTTTTGTCATACAAACAATGATGTGCATAATGCAGGAATATCCATCTTTAATATCCCGACGTGACGATATTCAAGTATTGCCATGTGCAAGTCTGAGAGCCAGGCTCGCCCCCCAGAGGAACAAAGAGCTGTCCCCAGGGTCTATTACAAAAGACCTAGGCTTGGAAGAGACTAAGAGAATTGGAATTTCAGCCTGGGGACTCCAGTGAATACCTGCTCTTAGCTCTCAGGAGACAGAACCAGAGAGACTTTTTCCACATAAATATATTTTTTAAATCTCCACTGAATACTTCTAAAGTGCTCTTAAGCACTTAAAAAAATCCCATTCTGGATCTTAGAATTAAGCTTAAAGTTTCCCCATTCTCCAAGCCCCCTTTTGTCACTTTGTGGTAGCTACAACCAGGGAGTTGTTTTTGTTTTTGTTTTTTGTGCTTGAGCCTGAGGCTTTGGGGTTTAAACTTGTTTCATCTGAGCGTCTGAACTCTGGTCATTCCCTTTGACACCTTCCTCCTTATCCTTAAGGGTCGGGTCGGCATTTTAGAAAATGAGCTTTGAACTCTTGCCAGGCAAAGCAGAAGAGAAATGACTGGAGAACATCTCCCCAGTTGATTGAGGGTTATTATTGTGGAATCAGTACTTTCAAGGCAGAGAGGAGGGCCTAAAAAGCTTTCTATCTTTACACTCTTTGCTTCTCCTTAGTAGGGTGAGAAAAACTCCCTTAGATTTTTTTGTTGTTTTGATCAGAACTTCAGAGGGAAAAAAAAAAAAGCCGAACACATCTACTCTTGTGGTGGCCTCCTTTCTGGGTCCAGCTAGTATTTGGTTTCCTTCCTTCACAGAGCAAAACAGCTTCACTTCCCACTTCCATCCCGCAGGCCCTCCCCAGGATAGGCCACACTCCAGACCTGCAAACTATTGGGGTGGAGTGGGGGTGCAGCTGGAACATTTGGAATCCAGTTGGAACAGAAAATCCAGTCATTACCTAGCCACTCAGAGCACAGAGGTTTTGTTTTCTTTCCCCAGAAAGAAAATCTTGGACCATTTGTTTCTTTTTTTCCCCCCTTTCCTTTAATCACCCAGAACTGGTGTAAGGTCAGTGCTGGGGGGGTGGGGGAGGAAGCACATGTGGAAGTATATTTCCAAGAACTCTGAGTGCACCCTTTTTGCCTCCCCCAGAAGGTTAAGGGCCTCCCAGACAAACTTGCAGGGCCTGGGTGGGGCTGCAGCTCCGCAACTCACATCCCCTCTGCTGTTGCTCCCTGAAGCTCGGCCCCTGGGCACCAGTATATGATTTTTGGCATGAAGGTGTTAGTTATTTCTGCACTGCATTCCTCAACAAATAAATACTTAGGCAAATATAATCTAAACATAAAACAACCCGTTTCCATTCCCTTCTGAGACATTTCCCTGGGCAGGGGACCACTGAGAGCAACATTTGCATTGTTGTTGGTTTTAAATCACACTGGAAATGACCTAGTCAGCCCAGAAAGTTCAGGATTCCTGGCCCAGTACAGGGTGGCCAGTACAGGGTGTCCAGTCCCGGGACCTCAACTCCCCCACACCGGTATCCACAAAGCCTCCCCGAGAGGTGGAGGGAGGAGATCTCCAGACTCACTCTGGGATAAAGCATCCAACTTTCACTGGCCAATTCAACATCCAACAGCAGAGATTTTCAGGAGTTTAATGACTCACCAAGAGTTTACTTTTTCTCAGTAGCTCCTGCCGCCTGATAATATCCTCAGAGAGAGAATATCCCGCTGCCCTCCCACTCCCATCCCGCCCTAGGGAGGGGGCTGCCCGGGCAGGATGCTAACCTGGTCCGAGGGCAGCCTTGGGGGGGGGGGGTCCCAGGTCCACCCCCACAGTACCTTAGAGCCCAGCGAGGTGACAGCAGGCCCAGCCTGCCCCTGCAGCCTCGGCTCAGCCTGGAGTGCAGGGAGGGATGGGCCCCGGCTCCCCGCTTCTATAAGGTCGTCAGGTCCGTGTGGTGGTCCTTGGCCATCGGTTGCAAATGCTGGCCCGGGGCGGTTGAGGAGGAGCAGGAGGAGGAGGAGGAGGAAGATGAAGACGACGACCTGCCTTTGGTGTTGGGCAGCTTGTGGTCTTTTTTCCACTTCATCCTCCGGTTCTGAAACCAGATCTTGATCTGGCGCTCGGATAGACACAGGGTGTGAGCGATCTCGATCCGACGGCGCCGCGTCAGATACCTGTTAAAATGAAATTCCTTTTCCAGTTCTAGGACTTGCTGCCGGGTGTAGGCCGTCCGGGAGCGCTTGGGTTCCCCTCCGGTGTAGTTGGGGTTCACTGCGGGACAAAATCGGGAGAGGCAAGTCAGCGCCGGGTCGGCCCCTCGTCCCGGCCGCTCACTTCCTGGCGCGCCCCGAGGCCCGCCGCCCTCCCCGCGCACTCCCCAGCTCGCTCACTGGCTTCCGCCCGCCCTCTCGCTGGCGCACACCCTCACTCCCACCCACCTCCTCGCACCCACCCACTGCTCCCGGCTCACGCGGGAGGGGGACCCAAAGGCGCTCCTCTCTCCCTGCTGCACCCCGCCTCCCCTCCCACCAACCCAGGGCTCCAGACCCCCGAAGTGTTTGGGAGACCTCCCTCTCCTCCTCCGCTGCTCCCTGCGCTCTGAAAATGGAGTCCTCCCCCACCCACCCCCTCCCCACCCCCTCCGCGCCCACAGACAAGCAACCAGCCACATGGTCCGGGCCTGCTCCCTCAGCTATAAAAATTTATGGAGAGAGTAATTGCAACGCCTAAAGCAGCTCCCTGAGCCCCCCACCCCTCGCACCCCACCCCATATCCCCCGCCTCCCAGGGCCCGGGCACCCGCAGGCTTGGGTGGGGTGGGCCTTGAGGAGACACGTCCCCGCACCTTACCCGAATTCACGTGCACCTTCTTCATCCAGGGGTAGACCACGGCCGGCTGCTTGAGGGCCGTCCCGGGGGGCGGCTGCTTGGGGCCGCCGGGCTGGCTGCAGGCCCGGGCGCCGGGCAGGGGCGCGGGCAGGGGCGCAGGGCACGGCTCTCCCTGAGCGGCGTAGTGACCGCCAGGGCCACTGGGCTCTTGTCCGTGACCCCGCACGGGCAGCGCCGGGCCGGGCCCGGGGCCGCCGCCTCCAAAAGGCTGCTCACCGAAGTCGGGCCGCGGGTAGAGCCCCGGGGGCTGGAAGTCGGCGCCCTGTGCGCCACCGCCGTAGTAATCGGCGCCCTGCTCGCCTAGGTAGCCGCCCTGCACATATTCCTCGCACGGAGGGAACTTGGGGTCCACATACTTGGAGTTCACCATATACGAACTCATGGCCATTAATTTCAGAAGGTAGAAAATACTAATTTTTCTCGTGTTGTCTTTTTTTCTCCTTCCATAGGGCCCTCCTACTTGCTGTCAACTGAATAAAGTTGGGCGGCCATGTGACCAGGCCAGCCAATGGGGAGGAAGCGAGTTTATCACCGGGTTGGTGAGCATCTCATAATTTTCACAAATTTAACTAAATAACATACGTGTAATCAACTGACTCGTCCTGGCACATTCGAGGGTCCCAGCCAGATGTTCACGTAGTGCCAACCCCTGCACCCCCAATTCCCCACAGGTAACCCAAGCTTTTGTCTGCCCCTGACTTGGCTCACCCCTTGCTCTCTCTCCACTCACCCCTGTCTGGAAGCAGCACCCCCGAAAGTGGGAGCAGTCCATGGCGCGAGGTCAGGAATAAGCCCTCCTACTGGGGTGCAAGTTAGCTAAAGCAGGGTGGGCCAGGTGGTCTCTGAGTTAGGCAGAGTGCCCCAGGCGGGCAGAGTTGCCCGCCCAGCCCGTGGGAGCCGGGATTCTGTCATACAAAGGCCGGTTCCCGGCTTTGTCTTCGTCAGGGTCACCCAAAAGTTACCAGGCTCTGGCCCTGCCTGAATCAAATCAGGCAATGAGTAACCACCAGGCTTTCTGCCCACTGTGTCCGGTCCGTGGTGTTCTCATCCCAGCAGAGCCTTTGCCTACAGCAACCACATGAGGCCCATGCAGGAAAGGGGTGAGCCAAAAAGATGATCAGGGCAACCTCCTCCAAGACCAACTGCACCCACAAAGGATCTTGCTAGCTTTCTCCCACACCCAGGAGGCTGAACCCTTCGGTTGATCTCACCCCCAGCCGTGCACTGGGAGGGCACGGCTGGGGTGGGAACCTCACCAGCCAGCCCCCTTTGGTTCTGCGTATTCACATTTGTGCTACGGATTAGGGTTCTTTTTGCAAAGCCCAGGAGAAGCTGCTTAAAGGTGACGTGCTTTCGGGGTAGAAGGCTGCTCTGGTCACGGGCAGGATCGGTCTTCCTGGAGTCCAAGGTAACAAAACAGAAAGGGGTAACAGAGCCGCCCTGGCCGCAGCCCCCCATTTCCACCTCCATCTTCGGTCGTTTCCAAGAAATGTGAAGTTTTTGCATCGACCATATATTCCCCTAGAATCGAATCTGTGACTATGTGGACACCACACAAATTCGGTTCTACAGGGTATATATAGACAACGTGACAAACTCCGGCTCCCACCCAGAACAGACACCCCAGTCCACAGCCAGCCCTGGCCTCTTCCTTGGAGCCATCGCCGGCCCCTGCCGCAGCCACCCGCAGATTCCCACACTTCAGGTAGACTGCGGGACTTGGTGACAATTTGCTGCAAGAGTTCCCTCATTCCTTTGCTAGGGCTGGGGTTACCAAGCAGCAGAGCCACCAGGACATTCCTCTTAAGAAAGAAAAGAAAAGAAGAAGAAAATAATCCATCGCAGAGATGGCGGCTTTATTACCCCCTTCTCGGGATCCAAATACATCCCCTCTCTAATCAAGTGGTATTTTCCAGAAAAAGAGCAAATGCCCTCAGCTAGCAGAATAAAAATAGGCGCCACGGGGACCATCTTTTGCCGGTCCCTTTTCCCACTGTCGGGCTAAGCCAGGTTGGCAACCCAAGCTCGTTGTTCAAGCAGACGCACGTTTACCTTCCTGGGAAGCGAGCCGGGCTGGCCTGTCGTTGCCGCTGCTGCTCCAGCGCCCCGAGGCAGGCGCTGCTCGCAGGCACTGCCGAGCCGCCCGGGGCCGAGGCCGGCGCGCTAATGGTGAAGGGCAGGGCGAAGGGTCATTCGAAATCATTTACAAACATATCACAAAGTTTCATTATTTTCGCTTTGAGGACAGCAGCACACGCGAGTACAAAAGTTCACGAATTTCGCCCGCCCCCGCGCCTCCCGTGCTGCGCAGGGATTGCCTCCGGGTTCAGGGCACTAGAAGCTCAGCCACACACAGGGGCTGAGGGGGTGCGCTGGGTCTAGGGGCGCCTTTGGATGCCTGACCTCAGTCTAAAGGTATCTAATATATGTATATATTGTTTTGATCTTCCCCGCACAAGTGAAAATAATATTGTTTCAAGCCTTGGCCTGGGCCTGCCGGGGGTGGGGGTAAGGAAGAGAACAACCCCCATCCTTGCCCGACAAAATGGGTTGCCTGATTCTATCGGTACTTTGCGTACCCCTCCCCCAATATTTTGGTTGCGAAGTGTTTTTTTTTTTTTTTAACTATTTCCTAGGCATTTTAACAGGGTGCCAAGTCAAACCGGGGCTCTTAAGCTGCTGCGCAATCTACTGGTTCCAGGAGTCACCCCAGTACCCCCAATGTTAAGCACTTCCTCCCTGCCTTCCTGGGGAACACTGGGCCTAGCCTTTACCCAGACAAATTGGGGGAACCTGCTGGGCTGTGTGGAGACCAAGAAGATTGTACACATTTTCATATTTGTTAGACGCTGTGACCTGCATTTCACCTTATTGCTTCACTTGTTCAGACAGGTCAAAGCCAACGAGTTATTGATGAACAGAAGCGTTAAATATTCACCTCCCTCTCAACCGCCCATACTAATGCTTTTGATCTCTCAGGCTTTTTTGTGTGTGGCGTTTCAGCTGCAGGGCGCCAAATGTGGGGTTTACCAGAGAGCAGAGTGGGTAGAATCACCTACAGCCAGGGCACTGGGGGCGAGGGGTGGGAGGAGAGGAGGGGAACCACCGGGATTTGGGGGACCCCGGAATTTTCAGCCAAGAGTCCAGAGCACCTTTCCCTTAAGCAGATCCGAGGCTTCCTGGAATCTGTGTGCTGCTAGGGGTCTCCCAGGTAAGGACAGCCCCTGGGGGTTGCTAAGGCTACCCAGCTCAGCCTTGCAAAGAAACCTGGCCTAGAGTCCAGCCCCGGCTTATCCCACCAGCAAGAGAGGGTGTCTCACTGAGGGTACCTGCTTCTGGTAGCCCTGAATACTCCAACTCCCATTCAAATAAAATCACCTCCTTTTTGCAGCCAGAGAGGGACCATGTTTTTGTTTTTGTTTTTCCTGGAGACTCTCAGACCACCACCACCCCCATCTTAGCCAAGGGGACCCAGGACTCCCCAGTTCCAGGCCTCATCTCCACCACTCCCCACTCAATCCTGCCAAATTTTCTGCCAGCAATAGCGCCTCTGGCTCGGAAAAGTTAACAAGGAAGAGCGGTTACAAAGGAGGGACAGCCAGAGTCCCAAATCCAGGGTCCACAAAGCCTAAGCTGGGACCAGGGGAAGCGATGGGAGAAGAATGTTTAAGAATTGCTCAGAATTTACAGGCCTTTCTGGAAGGGACAACTCTAAACATCTATGGCCACAGCTTATATTCGTGGAAGAGAATTGGGCCAGGCTGGACAGACCTGGTTAAGCTACCTTGGGCTGCTGAGGCAGATCGTGCTGCCTGGGTGGTTACAGTGTTAAGCGGGAGGCCAAGGAGTCCCAACTCCTGAACAGAACAGTTTGTTAATTAGTTGCAAGTTCTTGACTGGGGGAAACAGACTCAGAGATGCACCTGTGCAAGCTGCAGAGGCCTGGGGAGACCTCAAAGGTTGGGAGGGCTGGAGGTGCTGTCACCTCTCTCAGATTCCAGCAAAGCTCTGCAGGAGCCCAGTGTAGAGCCCCTGTCCCCACAAAACAAGCTGTCTTTTCTGGATGGGCGGCTCCCCCAGGCACCAATCCCAAGCGTGCAGGGCAAGCCGCCCGCTCCCTCCCCAGAGTTAGTGCTGCCGATTCGAAAGAAACGGGGAAGATACTTACTGAGACGCTCTCTCACCGTCCTGAACCTGTTGCAAGGAAGATGGGGAGGGGGAGGGTCACTTAAAATCCAAAGGAGATAATAAGGAATGGGTGAGGCCCAGACACCCCACTCAAACCCTCCCTGCTGCGGTGCCCACCCCACCCCGGGGAACTGCTGCGCAAAGTTCTGCAGATACCTTACTGCCTGTTTGGCCCGACCGGCGCTGCCTGGGGCAGTTTCCCCAGTGGGAAAACAGGCAGCGGGGGAGAAAATGGGCCTTTGTTTCCTCCTGCGCAATCAGCCAGTGGGTGCAGGTCTACTGGGCAGGGGTAGCCTTTCCATCTGGCCCTGGGAGCAAGCCCACCCCTCCTTTCTAGCTTCCATTTGTTTTCGTGTTCTCCAACCCAGAAATGGGGAACCTCCACACCTGTCCTTTTTGTTCCCAAAGAGGATGGCCAAGACTAGCACTTACCTCCCCACTTCTGCTGCAACTCAAAACAAAGGACAATTTCGGGGAGGGGGGGAGGGATGAAATGAGGACCCAAAGGATAACCAAGGAGGAGGAAAAGGAAAAGGAGGAAAATCAATGGGTGCAGAGGGAATGGCAGTGCTTTAGATTGTTATCCGACTCTATGGACGTGGCATCAATTTTTCAGCATCGTTGCTGGGAGAGCCCGCACACAACACTTAGAAAGCAGTGATGCTGGCTAGGGGCTGGTGGCCAGCTCTCAAGTTTTGGTGTTTTGTTTTTTTTTTTCATCTGTCCCAGTTTGATGCTAGGGTGGCAGTGCTCTCTTGGGGGAAACCCCAGGGGACAAGTCTCTACTCTAGTACTCTCTGCCGCTCTACCCACCCAGTCCACCACTGTTGAGTCCCCTATTTGCACAGCAGATGCTCCACTGGGGAAGAGAAAGAACCAGAAAGTTCCCCACTGGAGGTGGGAGTCCTCAACTCTTGTTTCCTGCCCAGCAGTGAGAAGAAAGGCAGGGATGCCCACGTTCTTTGTTCCTGTAAGCTTAGGCTAAAATCACACCCAGGACTTCCCCAGGACTCTGCTGGGCAGCGAAGAACGGCTGAGAAAGCCCCAGGTCTGGAGCCGTTGCAGAAAAGGGGGACTTACTGTGTCCTTCCTAGTGGGCAAGGGCTCTGGAATCCAAGCGCAGTCCTTCGGAGGCCAGCGCTGGCTGGAGCCTCTCACTTTCCTATCGCTGCTCCAGGAACCAAGCATCTGCACTTGTATGCTCTTAACCTAATTTATGGTGGGAATTATATTTTGGCTTGTCAACTCTCAAGCCATAAAACAAAGTTTATTGGAATCACGTGCTCTTAAATAGCCACTCAGGTCTCATCTCTGCAGAACCATAAATAACCTTTGGCTTTAAACTTTTATTCACTAAATAAAGGTTTACTGCAACTGTTCACTCGGATTTAAATAGTCCCAAATATCCAGGATGCAAGGGAGGTCATATTCATATCAATACCTCC